AGACTATAAGCCAGCTATAAACATATTTTAAAGAGATAAAGGAAGAGAGAGAAGAGCAGCGGGCTACAGATCTGTAGCCAGCTACAGCACGGGCTCCCAGATGTAATGTGTGTATGACAGGTGGGACCAAATATTAATAGTATAGTAAGCAACTATTGTATGAATTGGTTATTATATTGGCTATAGATGATTTGAAGCTAGTAGTGGGCTGCACTATTGACCTTGCTCTTATGATCATTGAATCCCAGTCGTCGCCTTGAATATAATTAATATACTTATCTGTACACCACCAAACAGCTACTCGCCTCTCTTGGGCTGTGTTTATTGGCCGCATAGGTAACGAGATAAGTAATTAACATATGATTAACGATATTGCTAAGATTCGTTGCTATAATTTGTGACTAATTTCAGTTAGATTAGAATTGTTTGATGAGCTTGCATATGCGCGTTGCTGTCTACTAATGGGCTTGCATGCACGCAATGTGCATCCGCATATGTGTCATGACATTCGTCTGTATCCCGCTTCACTCTTCCGTCTTTTCTTCTGGTTTGCTACAAAGTTGTCGTCACATTCTGTGACTGACAAAATCTGACGGCTAGTTATACATTAGTATTAGTTTTCCATTGAATTTGCACTATTATCTTCAACTTACGTATATATAATTTTGAAACTTACATACATAATTTTATAACTTACGTTGTTAGTATACTAAAATTACATATGTACGTAATTTAGAGACTTCAATATAAATATATGCTGACTACTATATCCGTTTCAGGTTATAAGATGGTCAAAGTCAAACTGCTTCAAGTTTGATTAAGTTTATAGAAAAAATAGTAATATTTTTTACCCAAGATAAATTTATTATAAAAATATAGTTAATTATTAATTTAATAAAACTAATTTGATAGTATAAATATTACTATATTTATCTATAAACTTAGTCAAATTTAAAGCAGTTTGACTTTGACCAAAGTCAAAACATCTTATAAACTTAAACAGAGGCAATAATTTTCATGAAAAACATGGTGATATAAATATAAGGGTTGATTGGATCCATGCCACTGCAATTTTGCCATATTAGAAAAATATCACTACTATTCACGAAATCTGTTGAGTGCCACTAGAACTTTGTAAAATTGAATCCATGCCACCGCCGTCGCATTTTCCATCCATCGCCGTCACTCCTGTGTGGGACCCACACGTCAGCTCCATCCTCTTCCTCCATCCTCTCTCTTCTCCCTTCCCCATCTCTCTCCGGCAAACAGCAGCAGCATGTGGTCGACGAACAGCAGCAGCAGGTGGCCGGCAGCAGCACCGATCGAGCTCCGACGCCCTTCACAGTTGTCTGCACCAAAGACTCGTGCTCCGCAGCTCTTTGCCCAACACCAAAAATTAAATCTCACCGCCGCCAAGAAATCCAGGTCCAATCTCTTATTTGCTTTGATGATTTGCAATCACGTGGATGTTCTTTGCTGATCGTACGATCGTTGGCCCTTCTGTTCGAGTTGGCCCACGACGACAACAGCCACCACGCCGACGACGACCACGACGATAACGAGGGCGGTGCTGCAAGAAAGCATCAGCTGCTGCGCGTCGGCGAGCCAGCTGCAGATGGACTACACCATGGACCAGCTCTGGAACGACATCACAGCGGCGGAAGCCGACACAAGCTACGACGCGACGGCGGTGGCGATGGCCTCGCCGCCATCGCCGGTCTGGGAATTCCGCGGCGGCGTTCGTGGCCCTCGCCGCCGTCGTTGGCCGGCTGCTGCTGCCGCCGCCACCGCCGGTCACCTGCTGCTGTTGTTAGCCGGAGAGAGATGGGGAAGGGAGAAGAGAGGGGATGGAGGAAGAGGATGGAGCTGACGTGTGGGTCCTACATTAGAGTGACGGCAATGGATGGAAAATGCGACGGCAGTGGCATGGGTCCAATTTCACAAAGTTCCAGTGGCACTCAGCAGATTTCGTAAATAGTAGTGACATTTTTCTAATATGGAAAAATTGCAGTGGCATAGATCCAATTAACTCTAAATATAATTAGTCCCTATGTTTAATATAACATTAATTATCATAATTCTTTTAAAAAAGAATTTTTTAAAAAGACGTACCGTTTAGTGGTACGAAAAAAAACGTTGACGGAGGAGTATCCCAAATACACCGAGCTAGAGCACAGCCAGTCGGCCAATAATACTCCAAGTCATCGTCAACGGTTTTTAGCGGCATATACCCTTGGAACATTCCCTCGGTTGAGTTGGCGCAGTTTTTGTTCTCGTTGCTTTCATATCCAAAAAAAAAACGCTCTCTGCTTCTTGTCTCGACTCTGGCCTGCTTCTTGTTGCATAATGCCACGAGAAATTACTTACACGGTACATGTATTGGTTGTCAATGTCGTGCTCTCCCGTGTCTTCGTTTTGATGTTTACGTGTTGAACGCGTGTTGCGAGATTTCCACGCAACAAAGGGGTCTGTTTGGTTGGTGACCTGAGTACGGCTTACCATTTGAGTTAGGCCGGCTTCAGGCACGTACACATATGCTAATAACCCAATGCATAGTAATACCGTACAGGGGCATGCTACAATGCGCTTGCAAATGCAGAGAAAACATCAGCTTGTTATTGTAGCAAATACTGTAGCACCGTGGAATTGTACTGTCGCAATGGAAGCTAGCTATATATACTACGAATCCTAGTGGAAGTTACTATAGCGATTGATCTCGAACGTTTGTACTTGATTGATACGACGGTTGAGGGCTAGCTTAGCTCAACGAACTGCTAAACGTAACGTTTCGTGTAAAAATTTTATATAAAAAATCAAATAAACACATTATTTTCAAAATTTATAATAGCAAATACTTAGTTAATCATATGTTAATGGTTCATCTCATTTCGTTCGTTTGCAGTAGAAAATTCCATCCCACCACCACGTTCAAACTCAGTCTTAGGATGCCCCCTGAAAAGAGTTTAGCACGTTTTGACACAACAATTCAACGTTTTCATGGAGCAACTCTAGTTTATGATCAATAGTAATAACCTGAGACAACTCAGCATTGATGCAAGTTTCTGATCCTGATTTTTCAATACTCCAAGCAAGTCTAATACAATAATGAATGAACAGGAAAACAAACTTGTCCTTTCCATTCTCCATTAATGTTTCAGATATCCATGGCTGCACGTCAGCGGATGAACTATACTTCATTGAATTCAAACCTGAATTTTTTGGTTAATAACAATGCAAAGTCAACCACCCGATTAACCAACTTGTGGATCAAATCAACAAAAATCCAATTTTGCAGCCGCTCTGCAGCAGCATATACTGAATTCTGAAAATTGCAAGTCTTCTCTTCTCCCCGGCGCGTCCATGGCTGACAGGCCTGCAGTACTACGTTCATGCATGTGACATTCAAAAAATAACATTTGATTTGATGCCTTTCCAGAAGATTAACCGTAATTAATCCATGTATCGGTCAATGGAGATGCATATCCTCGTTCTGATTAAAATAAATTGGATCTTTGTAATTATTTACGCATGATGTCCTAGCCTTTTGGTCCCAACACGTCACCAGACTACAGTGCTTAAAAAATACAATAATGTGTTCACAGCTTGAGTGACAATGACTAGCTAGCAGTCAAATGGCCCATTTTACAATTATCCATAGCTGTATGGTCTCCAATTAAGTAAGCTCAACGCAATAGTTTAGCTTGATAGTTGATAATTAGATAGTACTATCTCCTAACCAACACCTCATGATCAGTTTACGTTAGTGTGAACGATCTCCCAGGCAGGCGCAGTTTCAGGAGAGGATGATGCCAATCAGGATGATTATATTTTGTTGCAGGTTCAACTGAATTTGCTTGTTAATTCTGAGATATTCAGTCATCAAAGGACGCTGTAAAGTATTGTATCTGCGTTCACATAAGAGTATCATATCTTATTATGGGTACCTTTTTTTTTTTCCGTAGAGAGAGATACTGTGGGAACCAAATTTCAGTGATGCTGGTCATCGTCAGCAACCAAATTTCTCAGAAATGGCTGCAAAAATGTAAGACTTCAGCGACAGACACAGTGAAAGTTAATCAGTTGATACAGGATTTTGCTCGGTTGAGAACAGTGGACGCTGGACACTGCTTCAAATCAATTTAGTGGGCTAACCTCGAACGGTCCAATCACAAGCCAGAAAAGTCCAACGTACCTTTTGGGTGAACTAGTTGACGAGAATTCGAGCAACAATACGCCGCAGATCTAAGCTTCGGAGCTTAGCGAGCGGTCCAGATCTCACGTCAGAAAGTTCCATACCGAAAACTTTTTTTTTTTTTGAGGGAAATACTGAAAACTCTTTTAAGCACGAAGGTAGAAGTCCACCCATTTCTCACATTATCAACTAAATAATTATGAAATTTTTTTAAAATTTTGACAAGATAGATTGATATGTAATATATCACTCTAAAAAATGCAAGTTGAAATACAACTTCTACAAGTTATAAAAAAAACAACAAATTAAACTATATACTACAGTTTAATTTGTTTTTTTTATAACTTGTAAAAGTTAAATTTGAACTTGTATGTTTGTGAAGTGATATATTTCATATTAATCAATTTTATCATTTTTTTATAACTGTTTAGTTAACATGTAAGAAACGAGTGAACGTTCACTCGGGAGATTAAAATCCATCTTCTTCGGTATACTAAAAGCTTTTAGGGTGAACTGATTGAAAAAAATCATACATACAATAAATATATTGTATATCGCATATTAATAAGTCAGCGTGCGAAGTGCTTCTGGGATGAACCGATCGGTGACCCGAGCGCGTGCGTTCGGGCACCTATCAAACCCTTGTACACAAGCGCATGGCCCCGCGTGAGATTCGTGCCGTTTTTCTTCCCTCTCCATATTACAGTGACAACCAAGCAGGCGTGCCAAATCCACTGGACACGGCCAAGTCGGCTACCATTCCTGCGCCTACATATACCGCGGCATCTCCCGCGCCATTGCTGTGCCCAGAGAGCTCGACACAAATACAGGGGGACTCGTCTTCTTCCCCGAGCTTTGCGAGCAGAGTCGTTCAGCCATGGCGCGGCAGGAGCAGCAGCAGCACCTGCAGGTGCTGAGCGCGCTGGACGCGGCGAAGACGCAGTGGTACCACTTCACGGCGATCGTCGTCGCCGGCATGGGCTTCTTCACCGACGCCTACGACCTCTTCTGCATCTCCCTCGTCACCAAGCTGCTCGGCCGCATCTACTACACCGACCTCGCCAAGGAGAACCCCGGCAGCCTGCCGCCCAACGTCGCCGCGGCGGTGAACGGAGTCGCGTTCTGCGGCACGCTGGCGGGGCAGCTCTTCTTCGGGTGGCTCGGCGACAAGCTCGGCCGGAAGAGCGTGTACGGGATGACGCTGCTGATGATGGTCATCTGCTCCATCGCGTCGGGGCTCTCGTTCTCGCACACGCCCACCAGCGTCATGGCGACGCTCTGCTTCTTCCGGTTCTGGCTCGGATTCGGCATCGGCGGCGACTACCCGCTGTCGGCGACGATCATGTCGGAGTACGCCAACAAGAAGACCCGCGGCGCGTTCATCGCCGCCGTGTTCGCGATGCAGGGGTTCGGCATCCTCGCCGGCGGCATCGTCACCCTCATCATCTCCTCCGCGTTCCGCGCCGGGTTCCCGGCGCCGGCGTACCAGGACGACCGCGCGGGCTCCACCGTCCGCCAGGCCGACTACGTGTGGCGGATCATCCTCATGCTCGGCGCCATGCCGGCGCTGCTCACCTACTACTGGCGGATGAAGATGCCGGAGACGGCGCGCTACACCGCCCTCGTCGCCAAGAACGCCAAGCAGGCCGCCGCCGACATGTCCAAGGTGCTCCAGGTCGAGATCCAGGAGGAGCAGGACAAGCTGGAGCAGATGGTGACCCGGAACAGCAGCAGCTTCGGCCTCTTCTCCCGCCAGTTCGCGCGCCGCCACGGCCTCCACCTCGTCGGCACCGCCACGACATGGTTCCTCCTCGACATCGCCTTCTACAGCCAGAACCTGTTCCAGAAGGACATCTTCACCAGCATCAACTGGATCCCCAAGGCCAAGACCATGTCGGCGCTGGAGGAGGTGTTCCGCATCGCGCGCGCCCAGACGCTCATCGCCCTGTGCGGCACCGTCCCGGGCTACTGGTTCACCGTCTTCCTCATCGACATCGTCGGCCGCTTCGCCATCCAGCTGCTAGGGTTTTTCATGATGACCGTGTTCATGCTCGGCCTCGCCGTGCCGTACCACCACTGGACGACGAAGGGGAACCACATCGGCTTCGTCGTCATGTACGCCTTCACCTTCTTCTTCGCCAACTTCGGCCCCAACTCCACCACCTTCATCGTGCCGGCGGAGATCTTCCCGGCGAGGCTGCGTTCCACCTGCCACGGCATCTCGGCGGCGGCGGGGAAGGCCGGCGCCATCATCGGATCGTTCGGGTTCCTGTACGCGGCGCAGGACCCGCACAAGCCCGACGCCGGGTACAAACCCGGGATCGGGGTGAGGAACTCGCTGTTCGTGCTCGCCGGATGCAACCTGCTCGGGTTCATCTGCACGTTCCTCGTGCCGGAGTCGAAGGGGAAGTCGCTGGAGGAGATGTCCGGCGAGGCGGAGGACGACGACGACGAGGTGGCCGCCGCCGGCGGTGGCGCCGCCGTGCGGCCGCAGACGGCGTAGTGTATGACTGCACGTGAATATAGTGTAGGTTTTACTTAATTTACTTACTGTTATTATTATTATACTCCTACTTGTGTTTGTCTATGTGAAATTGGGAATCATGAACCCATGATCATGTTTTGTTAGGTTAAGAAGGCAAAAGAAATGTGTGTTAAATACTTCAATTATGTAAACTCTGTTTTTAAGTATTTGGCCACTTGAGGAATAATTCTTGCAGACCAGCAATTTGGCACGAATACATTTTATAATTGAACTACCACTCTACCAGAGTAGTACACTACTAATTTGCCTTAGAGAGGACAATGAGATGTCTAAATTTTCAATTATGGCTGTGTTGAGTTCAGCGTAAAGTTTAGATTTTGGTTGAAATTGGAGATGATGTGACTAAAAAGTTGTGTGTGTATGACAGGTTGATGTGATGGAAAAGGACTGAAGTTTGGATCTAAACACAGCCTATGAAGTCTAAAGTTATTGGTTCAAATTTTGCTGAAAGTTCTGTTTTTCTTCACAAAAAGTAGCTTTAAAGTTGGAAATGGACTAACTGTGGAGAATATATGTGAACCAGATATGAAAAATTGACTTGCACTATGATCTGAGTACGAAGTCGAAATTGAGTATATTTGACTATGAACTCCATACTTAGGCCACGTTTGGGGGCCCACAGTACCTAGGTGACAAAAACGAAATACAACAAATTTCGACGAAATTTCTGACCAAAGGAGGCCTGCATTGATGCCGATGGCTCAATAAAGCAGCAGTTGAATTGTTGGACAGCGTATTTTTCTGACAAATATCCGGCAAGTCTGAAGTTCAGGATAAATAGCCAGGCAGGGAAGAAGCGTGTTCACTGAATTTTGCAAAATTTCTTCAGTCATTCTTGTTGACGCGGCAAACCCCAATTTAAGCCAAAGTTTGGTAACCTTTTTTTGAGTGTTTGGCTGTTAATTTGGGGAAGTGTAAGTTTGTTTGAACAGTAAGTGAGTATGAAAACATTTATTTTAGTCTTTGCTGATAGCAACTGGTCGTTCAACTTTGATATCGAGTCGAAATCAATTTCTGACGAGAGCAACCGGCGGTGAACTTCCGCGGCTCTCACTCTCACCGGTTCTGGTAATCAATTTCAGGTTGGGACCCACCTGGAAGGCCGACTTTGACGAATCTTTGTCATTTCAGACCGGCGTTAACGTTTTGTACGGAAAATTGTTGAAAACCGTAAAATTTTGAGGTTTTGACGTGGGACGACATTAGATTCTGAGTGAAACTTCAAATGGTTTTTGACTGAAATTTGATCAAAATTTGGTGAAAACTGTCATACCGCCAGGAGTCGGGATCTCAATCGGAAAAGTGAACCCTGTCTTAGACTGAATACTGTTGGATTTCTTTCAGAAAAGCCTGAATTTAAATTTCTGATAACATTTTAGAATTCCTTGGAAGAGGATGTAAAATAATTTGAGATGAAGTATTTGAGTATATGATCAAATGGATATTTTTTACAGTCTTTGTGACAGCTTAAGGTATGCCAAATTGTATCTATGTAATGTTCTTTGCAGTGTCCACCACCAACTAAGAATCTGGAGATCAGAGCAAGGCAACAACCTGTTGTTTTACCAACAAACAAACCAGACAAAACCAAAATTCTTCATCAGTTATTTAGACCTTAGACCAATGACTTGCTTTCACAACCAACATTGACTAAAACCACTAAACACCAGACACCTAGGCAATCCATGAACGCAAATATTTCTTCAAATTCCAGCAAAAGCAGTGGCAGAATAGACAATATACAAGTCAATACGTCACTGCCGTTGGTCAGGAGCAAGCACAAGCACATGTATCTGCTGTTACAGATGAGCATCTTCAGTTCACCTGCAACCGTGTTGAGTACTGTACTAGGCATGGGTATGAGTGCAACTACTCACTAATAAGTAACCTAATCCAGCAAGACTCTCACCTTGACCAGGGACAACGACGAACAATAGCGTGGAGAATTGTGTGTAATAATTTTGGAGGACGCTCAAGAGAGCGCGTCAGGATAGCAGCAAGAGAACAATACAGAGAAAACAGGTCTAAATTAGGCTTGAAGTCAATAGAAAATTTTGGAGTGTAGATTGGAGAGGTATTATCTGATAAAATGACTGGAGAGGACCCTAATTAAGCTGAGTAGCTGACTGCATAAATGCAGTATTGAGAGTTCAGGCGTAATTGCTCCATAGACTGCAGAATTCCAAGTCTGAATTTGCCTAATAGTTCCCTGATACCCCGACAGACTTCAATTCCAGCCTTCCTGTCAGGGTGAGTCAAACTGAATAGAACAATGAATGCACTGAAAACCATGTGTAGTTTCTTGAGCAAAACAAACATCTTAAAATTGGGTCTTTTAACTCTTTTTCTGTGGTGCAGGAAGGTGATAGTACTGAATGAAACAGCTAAAGGATTATTCAGCAGAAAATTCTTTAGAAGACCATGTCATGCATTGTGTGCACACACACAAATTAATGGGCTTGTTTAGTCCAAAAACTTTTTAAAAACATCACATCGAATCTTTGACGCATATATAGAGCATTAAATATAAAGAAAAAAAATAACCGCACAGTTTGCATGTAAATCGTGAGACGAATTTTTTTGAGCCTAATTAGGCCATGATTAGCCATAAGTGCTACAGTAACCCACATATACTAACGACGGATTAATTAGTCTCAAAAGATTCGTCTCGCGGTTTCCAGGCGAGTTATGAAATTATTTTTTTCATTTGTGTCTGAAAACCCCTTTCGACATCCGGTCAAACGTCCGATGTGGCACCTAAAAATTTTATTTCACCAATTAAACAGGCCCAAATATATCCATCCGTACAATACAATTCTCTGCGTTTCTGACGAAATAAGTTCTAACCAAAACCTGCAGGTCCAAGCATAGGTCACCTGCTCACCTTTGTTTTCTTGCGAAAAAAACTGAGAAGCTAAGACTGCTGCCCATCAGTCAACCCAGCAAGAATGGTGTGTTTTTTTTTAAGGAACGCAACCATTCCATTCAGAGCACACTTCCAGGGATCCTAAACGGTGTGATTTCCAAAAAAAACTTTATATATGTGAATTTCTTATAGAACCATTTTAAATCTATTTCTCGACCAATTAGTTCATTTGTTGTACCCTTGAATAGTTATTATAAAACCATTCCGCTATTCAGAAATTTAACTATCCAAAAAAAAGTTTACTATATCTATCTTATTAGTACTAGCTAAATACCCTTGCGTTGCAACGGGATTATAGTAAAGCCCAAAAGTCAAAATAAAATTATTCTTACTCTCTAATCGTCATATTATATTGGCAAAATTTGCTACAGGACACCGAAAGATTGCAACATTTGCTGTGATACACCCAAAGATCGTGTATTTGCTCGTGGACACTGTAAAAAATGGTAATTAGCTGCTGGACACTCATCCCATTATTTTATTAGTTTCGGTCAAAATAGAGAGAGAAAGAGCTGTGCAAGTACCCAAATGCCCTTGGACACGTGTTCTTCCTCTCTCTCTCTTCTTTTCTTTTCCCCATTCTTCCTTGCGACGGTGACCGGTCCGAGCCGGGATGGCTCGGCCACGGCGGGGTGGCCGTGGCGGCGCATCGCCGGGGTTCACCACCGACGGCGATGATGCACGGCAGCATCCCAGTGCACAGATGAGGTCGGCAAAGCTTGGTCATCGACGATGGCTCGCGGAATATCTCGGCGGTGGCGCTTCATCTTGGACGAACGGCGATGGCTCGATTTCTTCAAAGGACTGCCATGCATGCATGTCTTTCATGTTAGAGAGGTCCATGCGAGGCTACCATGGCAAGGAATCGGATTGGGACTCACCGGAGAGGGAGAAATCAAAGATGGAGCTCGGCGGCCGGAGTTGGAGAAGATGATGCCGATCTCCAAGATCGCTAACCATTGGGTAGGGTACTTGTGGGTAAATGGAGAGGAGGTCGAGGTGAAGCCGATGGCGTGGTGGCTCAGCCTGCAACGGTCCACTGCACCCGGAACGGTGACGATGTCAAGGCGGCGACGCGCAGAGCGCGCTCCAAGGCCGGCGATGGCATGACGGCGTTCCCGTCGATCCGCTGCACGAGAGAGGATGGAATCAAACGGAAAATTATTTGGCACGTTAAGGTGAGTATGGAACGGTGGTGAGGCAGAGATGGAGATAGCTCTACGGTGACAGTGGGCGTTGTCTTCTTCATGGCCGGTGAGGGATTTGAGGGCGACGAAGAGATTGAGGGCTTCCTCTCTCGGTTTGATCGACACTAGAGCCGGGGTTCACCGCTGACGGCGACGACGCATGACGGCTCGGCCATAGTGGAGCTCAGCGGCGGCGCAATGAGAAAGAGATGAACAGAGAAAGAGAGGAAGAAGAAGAACAGAGAAAGAGAGATTGACAAGTGGGCCCATGGGCAAACTTGTCTTTAACCAAAGTTTCTCTCTCCATTTTGACCGAAAATAACAAAATAATGGGAGGAGTGTCCAGCAGCTAATTACCACTTTTTTACAGTGCCCACGAGTAAATACACGATCTTCGAGTGTCTTACAGCAAAGGCTGCAATCTTTCAGTGTCCTGTAGCAAATTTTGCCCCTCCTACTAATACAGCTAAAGAACTTTCTTATTTAATACAGGGAGAGACGAGGCCACCCGCATCGCTCCCCACACGAGCGACTGGGCAGAGGGGATAACCCTAGCCGCCACTGCCCTACCCCCCCTCCCTTGCCTTGCCACCGCCAGAGCGAGCAGCCAGGCTACAGCTCGGTGAGAAAGGATGGTGGCAGTGGGGTAGAAAGCTGTGAGGCGGCGGGCCCAATACTGTACGAGGGAGAAGGGGATGATGCTCAGCAGTGACCACAATGACCCAGCGGTGAGGTGCATTAGTTGATGGCGGCGAGAAGCAACAGCAGCAAGGCAGAGGCGGCAGGAGGGCGTCGACGCCCGGAGGTGAAGGGCAAAGTTTACAAAACCGCGCGATTATCATGTGCAGAAACCTTCTCAGTTTTTGAAACCACGGTATACCTCGTGGTTACCGCACAATTTTCGTGGTAACCACGTCGTTACCACGGTAACCGCCAAACCATGGGTGGCGGTAACCCCACCCAAAACGGTTTAGTAAACCCTAGTGCAGGGGTAGCCAATTCGGCCTTCTAGGCCAGATCTAGCCACCCCCCATCCTAGATCTGGAAAGGGGTAGCTCGATAGAATTGGAGGTGGCTGGCAAGTTGGAGCTGGAAATGCAGATGGCCGGTGGACGTGGTAGGGGCTATGGACAACGAGTCAGAGTTGTACAGGTGGGGAGTTGGAGGTGCATGCGGCCGATGGTGGAGTTGGCCAGTGAGTTGGAGCTGGTGAAGGTGGTCGGCAAGTCGGAGTAGAAGTGCAGGTAGCCGACAGCCATGTGCAGGAGTCAGGAGGCCAACGAGGTGTAAGTGCCTTGCACTTTCGGGTGGAGGTGGCTGGCAAGGTGGCCGGAGAAGCAGTTGGCCAGCGGAGTGCATTTGGTGCTAGGAGATGGTCGGTGGTGTTGCCGCTTGGTGAGGCCGTTGTTGGGTTGGTCACTAATGTAGTTTGTTTGTTTGGAAAGCCACTCGACACGGTGAACAACTGTGTGGGCGACGCCCTGGTCAACATCAAAGGATCCCTCACAACCGGTTAGGGTTTCTCCCATTCCCTAGAGCTCCTTCCCTTCTGTTGACTAGTTTGCATCCAGAGTCCGGTCATGGGGAGTTCCAGGACAAGGTGTGAGGCACCAGTTTGGTTGGAAGTCTTTGCTTGATGGAGTTCGGCTAGTCGCCAATACTGTATGTGCTTTGAAAGTTCTTGTGGCATTGAGGTTCTTAGTTTGGTGTAGAGGAGGTGCACACCCCTACGACGCAACCATCGGTTGGTGTTTGGGTGGGGTCGGAACTACTTAGCCAAGTATGGCAAGCTCAGCAACGATGACCCTCTTGCTCTTTCTTCTTGGTAGTGTCGTAGGAGCTGCTGTGCAGGTGGCTTCCCGATGTGGCTATGCATTGGTGTGTTAGGGGCGGAGTCGGAGTTGCTTGTCATGGGTGGCAAACTTGGCAACGATAACCCTCTTCTGCTTTCGTCTTGACAATGCTGTGGCAACTTGGGTTTTCGTAGTTGGTATCGAGAAAGAGCTTAGGCGAAAGTCCCGCTCGATCTTAGGCTAGACCGCTAGACCCAACGATGTCAACTCATGTGAGCACCGTTTCCTTCTTGGAAGGCGTTGTTGCTTTGCTCTCTTCTTTTCTTCAGGTGAGTTGTTTGCGTCTACGATGCTATCTTTGTCCTTGGAGGCTTCGTCCAGAAGACCCTATCCTACGTTGCTCGGTCATTTTGGCTGTCTTGTTTGTGGTTTATTTATACAAAATCGGAGCTGCTCTTATGAGCTCGGCCACGATGGCTTGTGTTTTGACCTTTAGTTGTGCCGTTGTAAGTATATAGTTTGTTCTTCGTGTGGGTTTTTGGTCGGTTTTCCCCAATAAACCATACTTCTATGAGGTTTTTTGGCCTGGTTTTTCCTAAAAAACTGGGCCAAATCTCTTTTTTTTTAAAAAAAAATAGGTGTGTCTTTCTCGAGGTTTACCCTTAAAAAATACTAATACAACTGAATACAATATTTGCAAACCAAACTAACAAAATACCATCACACTTTTATTTCAATATAACAAACAAATACAATCAAATCCTCACAAAAAAACACATACACACAAATGCCATCAAATATGAACAGAGTTAACGCTTCAATCATCAAATTAAATTTACATTTGGACACTGCCATTCACATCACACTAACACATACAAATGTACTAACGTACTGAATACAGCAGTCGCAGTAGTACTATCATCATCATACACAAAATTTACGAAAGATTAATCAATCAACCAATGAGCTCTGTTGAACCACCGTCTTCTTCTTCTTCTTCTTCTTCTTCTTCTTCTTGGCTACGCCGTCGCCTCCTCGTCGTCGGCGACGTTCTCCTTGGACACCTCCTCCAGCGACATGCCCTTCGACTCCGGCACCAGCAGCGTCATGAGCATGCCGAGGAAGTTCGTGCCGGCGAGCACGAACAGCGCGTTCCGGATGCCAATGCCTGGCTTGTACCCGGCCTCCGGCTTGTGCGGGTCCTGCGCCGCGTACAGGAACCCGAACGCGCCGACGATGGCGCCGGCCTTCCCCGCCGCCGCCGAGATGCCGTGGCACGTGGAACGCAGCCTCGCCGGGTAGATCTCCGCCGGCACGATGAAGGTGGTGGCGTTGGGGCCGAAGTTGGCGAAGAAGAAGGTGAAGCCGTACATGACGACGAAGCCGGTGTGGTTCCCCGGCGTCGTCCAGTGGTGGTACGGCGCGGCGAGGCCGAGCATGAAGACGGTCATCATGGCGAACCCCATCAGCTGGATGGCGAAGCGGCCGGCGACGTCGATGAACGCGACGGTGAACCAGTAGCCCGGGATGGTGCCGCACAGCGCGATGAGCGCCTGCGCGCGCGCGATGCGGAACACCTCCTCGACGGCGTTCATCGTCCTCGCCGGCGGGATCCACCCGACCTTGGAGAAGATGTCCTTCTGGAACAGGTTCTGGCTGTAGAACGCGATGTCGAGCAGGAACCACGTGCTCGTCGTCGCCACCAGGTGCACCCCGTGCCGCCGCACGAACTGCCGCGAGAAGAGCCCCCACTCGTTGCCGGCGCCGCCGGCGGCGACCGCCTCGGCGCGGTCCGCGTCCTCCTGGATCTCCGTGTCGAGCACCTTGGACATGTCGGCGGCGGCCTGCTTGGCGTTGCGCGCGATGAGCGCGGTGTACCTCGCCGTCTCCGGCATCTTCATGCGCCAGTAGTAGGTGAGCGCCGCCGGGACGGTGCCGAACATGAGGATGATCCGCCACACGTAGTCGGCCTCGGGCACCAGCGACGCCGCGCGGCCGTCGGCGTACGACGGCGCCGGGTACGCGTTCCGGAACCCGGCCGACACGACGAGCGCCACGATGGCGCCGAACAGGATGCCGAACCCCTGCATGGCGAACACGGCGGCGATGAACGCCCCGCGCGTCCTCTTGTTGGCGTACTCCGACATGATCGTCGCCGACAGCGGGTAGTCGCCGCCGATGCCGAAGCCGAGCCAGAACCGGAAGAAGCAGAGCGTGGCGACGACGCCCTTCGCCGTGCGCCCGAACGAGAGGCCCGACGCGACGGAGCACACCACCATGAGCACGAGCGTGAAGCCGTACACGCTCTTCCGCCCGAGCTTGTCGCCGAGCCACCCGAAGAAGAGCTGCCCCGCGAGCGTGCCGCACAGCGCGACGCCGTTCACCGCTGCCGACACGTTGGGCGGCAGGCTGCCGGGGTTGTCCCCGGCGAGGTCGGTGTAGTAGATGCGGCCGAGCAGCTTGGAGACGAGGGAGATGCAGAAGAGGTCGTAGGCGTCGGTGAAGAAGCCCATGCCGGCGATCACGATCGCCATGAAATGGTACCACTGCGTCCTCGCATGGTCCAGCGTCGTCAGTACCTTGAGCTGCCCGTCCGCCATTGTCGCCGGCGTAGCCTCGTTCGTCTTGCTCCTCACCGAGCTAGCAAGGCAGCTAGCTGCAGTGCAAATATATAGTATAACCCTAGAGAGAATTAATGTACTATAGTACGTGTGAGCTAAGATGCACTTGCTTGAGATTTTTATTGGTTAATGCTGCTTCCCGGCTTAGGGACATGATGATTGGAGTGATCTGAGTCAACGAGAGATAGGCTCGATTTAAAATTCTATTTCCGAAAGAACATTTTAAATTTCTTCAAATTAAAAACTTCCAAATGATCTCTATTATAAATAGAGTAGATCAATTGGTTAGATTCGTTATATATGGTGGAACCAACCCATCTAGTTTCAAGTTCTAGACTTGATATATGTAATCGTATTTACGGCTATATATTAATTTTTTCTGTGGTAGACTATATACCTATTAACAGCGAGACGTCCATGGTGACACGCCAATTTCATGATTTGCCGGTCCATCCTTTCAGAGGTAATCGTATAGGTCGGGTATATCCATATATGCGTTGAGTATATGTGTTATGAGTGTCTGCATTTGTGCTGTGTTTTTTGGAATAAAATATTTTTTAACCCCTTTCATGTTAGGAATTAACTGTCCAAATGATCTAAATTGTAAATGATAATATTTAATTTCTTCATATTAAAAACATTTATATGGTTAGACGATTATGTTAATGAGCTTGGAGCTAAGGTTTTGCAAAGGACACTGAAAATTATTATTCCTAACTGCCCAAATAATCTAAAATTGTAGTATTTGGTTATTTGTACTGTGGTTTGATCCTAGGAATATACCTGATCTCCTGAGAAGTCTCCTCCATTTGGATGTTGTTTAATCCTAGTCAACTATTCCCAATGCCGTGTTACATGTACCTTAACAAGTTAGTTCCCAGCACTACTTGCACACTCACAAGAAAATAAAGTTTTATCAATTTTGTGAAAGGAGCATCTTTCTTTTTCATTTCTTATAAGTGTTTTGCATTCCAAGTCATAGTGAATGTGATCCAAGACATCCAAGCTTGATCTTCTGGTCTTGAAGCTTGAAGCTTGCAGCGGCTCTGCTTAGTATCTCCAAGTAGGCAAGTAGCATATGTAGGATATAATTCTTAGGAGTGTGGATGACACACTAGCTAAAGCTATTGCCAAATTAGTTTCTTTCCCTCCAAAAATATAGTTTTGTCTTGGTTCTTCGGAGTTATTGGCAAGCACTACTGATTAACGCTACGAGGTACCTTTATCTCTGAAGAACTCTTAACTAATTAAGGATTGTCAACAAAAAATCTACAATATGCTTTAGGCCCGTTGGGTAGAGCTCCAACTTCTAAATTTAACTCCAGGAGTAATAGTTAAATTTGTATCTGCTGAATCTAACTTCAGTTCCTATTTGGTGTGACATCGTGTGGTGATAATCCATGCTAATCTTGGTCTGAAGCATATTAATCCCAAGTTCAGAGCAATCTGAACTGAATGTACACATCTCTCTGTCTCAATGTACTAACATTAATGAGTTGTTGCAAGTTGGACATACATATATTTGATGGTACAACAGCTTAACTAAACTATTTTAGCCTAATTCATCCCATCTCTCTCCTTCATTAATGGATAGAGTAATTGACCACGATGGAGCATCATTTGATGCCAAGAAGCAGATATGCTTTGCCTGGTCTTCCAAGTCACCCGTGTCTGCACATTGCCAAGTCAGATTCCTAGGTATCTTTCTTATGCTAATATGACAGCTTGGATCTCCAAATTTAAATATTGTCCTGGTGTAAATTTGGGAGTTTCTTATCAAAATATTTATGAATTTGGGCAGTGATGACTGATGAATTAATTAAGGACCGTTACAATTGAACGTACATGATTTGGAGACTGATAGAGGGCAAGCTTGAACATTGGAGTATTCAGCATCAGCATGCATCGCATGATGTTAAATAAGCTAAGTGTCGATTGTTTCATGATTTCATTTTCGCCTACCTGCTTTAAACCCATGTGGTAAGCGACCAACTAATTTGTACTCCATGTCATCCTACTGGACCCTGTAATAAAATATGGGGATAATTTGTATCTGTCTTGTTTGGTGTTTGTAAAATATCCATTGGAAGTTTTTACTCTTTTGTGCCCAGAACCAGAGGTTAATCATGCATGGTCCATGGAATGCAGCAAAACGGTCTGGCTTTAGATAGCACGTAGGTCCTGATGTACTGATGCAATTTGTGTGATTTCAGCCATTGTTTTCACAGTATGGTAGGAGTAGCTCTTTTTTAAGATAATGGATAAAAATCCAATCTCTATATCCTTCACATATAGAATCATAGCTGAGGAACACAATAAAACAAGAAAGAAAGAGGACTAACAAAGAAAACTAGAAGACCAAGCTTCAATTTTTATACGTCTTTGCTTCATCCCTGTGTAGCCACAACCCTTCACATTATTTATCTACTTAGAAACTTTGATGTTAGAATCCCTCCATCCTTCTGAAGGAGTTAGAAACCCTTCCCTCTTTACACACAAAATAGAGTGACGGATTAACGCATTATTAATTAATTACTACATCCGGTTTTTTAATATATGACACCGTTAACTTTTTAAGCTACGTTTGACTATTCGTCTTATTAAAAAAATTATGTAGTTATCATTTATTTTATTGTTATTTGATTTATCAAGCCTTTAAGCAGGATTTAATTTTTTTCATATTTAAAAAGGATCGAATATGACGAATAGTCAAAAGTTTATTAAAAAGTCATCGACATCGTATATTAAAAAACCGGAGATAGTATTAGCTTAAAGAAAATCTGAGAAATAGATTAATATAATTTTTTTAAAACAACTTTATTGTACATATATTTTTTAGAAAATAACACACCGTTTATCAATTCGTAAAACTTGCCCATAAAAAATGAGAAAGTAAAAATTGAGAAACGGGAAAAAGGAACACAATGCAAACGTCATCGAACACTCTGCCCAAGCGAGCAGCCGAGCAACCGCAACCATTCGATCTCCAAGACTCCAATCCAACGGCCGACCCAGCCGCCCATCGCGCTCACCGACCACCGCCGCCGCCACGCTCTCCCGCCGTCGTCGGCGCCGCGCCGCCGCCGCTCCTCGAACGCCCTCCCCTCCCCTCCCCTCCCCGGCGCCCGGCTTCCTCCGCCGCCTCCGCTTGCTTGCCCCTCCTCGCCGGCAGCACCACCAACCCGCCGCCCCATCCACTTTTGGGCGGCCCCATGCCACGACCCTGCGGCTAGGCATCGCGTGTCGCCGTCGGCGGGGGGGTCGTTCCATCCTCGCCTTCTCTCCGAGGCAACGCGTCGAACACCTGCGCCGACCGGCTTCTCCTCATCTCCATGAGAAAGCCGTTCCCGAGTCTCCTCCTCCTCCACCGCCTTCGCCGTCGCCGAGACGCCAACCGGCGCTACGCCGCAGCCCCCAGCCTCACCGCCTCCGTCGCAGACATCCCCGTCCCCGCCGCTGCCTCCACCGGCATCATCCGCGATACGCTCGACAGCGTGGACGCCCGCGAGCTCGCCGCCACCCCGCGCCTCTACCACTCTCTCATCACCGCCTGCGCGCGGTACAGGAGCCTGGACGACGCCAGGGCGATCCACGCACACCTGGCCGGCTCCCAGTTCGCCGGCAGCGTCTTCCTGGACAACTCGCTCATCCACCTGTACTGCAAGTGCGGTGCCGTGGCCGACGCGCGACGTGTGTTCGACGGAATGCCGGCGCGCGACATGTGCTCTTGGACCTCGCTCATTGCCGGGTATGCGCAGAACGACATGCCGGATGAGGCCCTTGGGCTGCTCCCTGGGATGCTGAGAGGGAGATTCAAGCCAAACGGGTTCACGTTTGCGAGTCTCCTCAAGGCGGCTGGTGCTAGTGCGAGCAGTGGCATCGGGGAACAGATCCACGCGCTCACGGTGAAGTATGACTGGCATGATGATGTCTATGTAGGGAGTGCACTCCTTGACATGTATGCGAGGTGTGGAAGAATGGACATGGCCATTGCGGTTTTTGACCAGCTTGAATCGAAGAATGGGGTTTCTTGGAACGCATTGATTGCTGGGTTTGCAAGAAAGGGTGATGGAGAGACCACACTGTTAATGTTTGCAGAGATGCAGAGGAATGGGTTTGAGGCAACACATTTTACGTACTCAAGTGTGTTCAGTGCCATTGCTGGCATAGGTGCTCTTGAGCAGGGGAAGTGGGTGCATGCACACATGATTAAATCTGGGGAGAGACTGAGTGCATTTGTCGGAAACACAATACTTGACATGTATGCAAAGTCAGGGAGCATGATCGACGCGAGAAAGGTGTTTGACCGTGTGGACAAGAAGGATGTAGTTACTTGGAACTCAATGCTGACTGCATTTGCACAGTATGGACTTGGCAGGGAAGCAGTCACCCATTTTGAGGAGATGAGGAAATGCGGTGTTCACCTGAATCAGATCACCTTCCTTTCCATTTTGACTGCTTGTAGCCATGGGGGACTGGTGAAAGAAGGCAAGCAATACTTTGACATGATGAAGGAGTACAACCTGGAACCAGAGATTGATCACTACGTTACGGTTGTTGATCTCCTTGGTCGAGCTGGTTTACTGAATGATGCTCTTGTATTTATATTTAAAATGCCCATGAAGCCAACTGCTGCTGTTTGGGGAGCCTTGCTTGGATCTTGCAGAATGCATAAGAATGCCAAAATTGGGCAATTTGCAGCCGATCATGTATTTGAACTTGACCCAGATGATACTGGTCCACCTGTGTTGCTTTACAACATTTATGCTTCCACAGGCCAATGGGATGCTGCAGCTAGAGTGAGGAAGATGATGAAGGCAACTGGTGTGAAGAAGGAACCTGCATGCAGTTGGGTGGAGATAGAGAACTCAGTGCACATGTTTGTCGCAAATGATGACACCCATCCAAGATCAGAGGAGATATATAAGAAGTGGGAGGAGATAAGCATACAGATTAGGAAAGCAGGGTATGTTCCTAACACGGATTATGTGCTTCTGCATGTAGATGAACAAGAGAGGCAGGCAAAGTTACAGTATCACAGCGAGAAGATCGCGCTCGCATTTGCACTGATCAACATGCCTTTAGGGGCGACCATTCGGATCATGAAGAATATTAGGATATGCGGGGATTGCCATTCTGCATTCAGATACATCTCCAAAGTTTTCAAGCGGGAGATTGTTGTCAGGGATACAAACAGATTCCATCATTTCAGCAGTGGCTCCTGTTCATGTGGAGATTACTGGTGATTTTGCTAATCTCAAGTGTTTGTGACTTCACAAATGGGCCATTGTGCTTGTCGATCATCATTAATGAAGTTATAGCCAACAAAACTGTTTATGCATTATAAACAATTTTGAGGCATGCCTCCACTCGGGTTGATTTTCTTGACCGAGGAAAACATCATTCTTCAGTTTATTAAGATCATTCATGAGAGACCATAAAGGATGCTCTTGAATTGACTCACTGTTGCGGCTTATGGGCTTCTACGAGGAAAGTAGAGATGCACTTGGTGATGCAGCTTCTAGTTGGCTACAAATTTATTTCAGGTAATTTTTCGTTACACTCCTGCAGATTAACTTTTGCATCTTGAAAAATAGGAATTTAGTTGCACAGCCCAATCTGGACAACATATCACATTACTATGCATGTCTATATGACGTATAAAGATAACTCTGGTTGATTTTTGTATTTACGCATGATATGGTCTTTTCATCAGGTTATATTGACCTTACCCGGAGCTCACCAAGAGAATCAATCGAGCAATGCCTGAATTACTTTGAACCGTTTTATTCCTTGCAGTACTCCACAGAAGTTATCCCCTTATTTTACTTGTGATCATCATAAGCATCTGGGAAGTGAGGCACAATCGCTATTCAGCTACAGGAGGTTATCGTGGAACGAGAGGATGCTACTCTGTGGACCGCTGACAACCTTGCGCCATCCATATACGGTAATTTTCCAGACAAAATTCAGGAAAAATGTTTGTTTGGTTACAAATTCGTAATTTGGATATGTTTTATGATGGCTCATGTGACTTAAAATGTTACTCTCTCTGTTTCAGGTTATAAAACGTTTTGACTTCGGTCAAAGTTAAACTGCTTTAAGTTTGACCAAGTTTGTAGAAAAAAATAATAGTATTTTCAACCCAAGACAAATTTATTATGAGAATATATTCAATTATTGATTTGATAAAACTAATTTAGTATTATAAATATTACTATTTTTGTCTATAAACTTAGTTAAACTTAAAAAAAACAGTTTGACTTTGACCAAAGTCAAAACGTCTTATAACCATTACGACAGCAATAACTAGTGTCTTAATTGAAAGAAACGAAGAAACAATCGTCTACTTATTGATGTTTGTTTCATTCCAATCCTTCCAGGTTTGCATATCGACTAATTAACTGAATCTTTTTAGTGCTAGGTGTTTCTCTGCACAAACGAAACTAACTGAAAGTGTACAACGAAGTCAAACTGTTCAGTCGTTTTATGTGTAGAAGATATAACAAGTTCCTATAGTACCCAATTCTGATGATAATACAGGATGACATTCACAATTAACCTGCTTGGTGAAACTTGAACTGTTCTACAATAACACTGAGACACCACCTTTATTTGGTTGTACAAAATGAACATATACAGACAGAACTTTCCTTCCCAAAAAGGTCGAGGAACAAAAGAATGGAATAAAACGCATTAACTAGATGCAAATGCAAAAGGAAACATTAACAAGGAATACTGGTACAGGGAAGATCAGAAGGCACAGTGAGGTAAGGACTAATGAGAGCTTTGGACCGCAGAAATATCTACATCAGCCAGACGGTCTCTGATAAATGTGTTTTGTTCTTGGGTCAACAATTAGGCCTCTCCCACCGTTCACCTCCAAATCATGCCTGTAAGTACAAGTACATAAATATTACATGATTTTCTAGCAACTGTGGCAATGTGCCAAAATCTGGCATTGTGTAAAGGGTACTTACTGAAAGACAAAATCAGGAATAGTTAGTTGTTCGCGTGGTACATATCTGAACAGATGCACAAGCCTATCCACGTAGACAACTTTCTTCCAAACCTAGTTTTTTAATTAATAAAAGATAATGCTACATCTCAATACAGATACTGATGAAACATAAAAGATGATATCAGTATGGGTTGAGCTAGGTAATACCTCTCCATCAACAAACATCTGCATTGCCAGAATAGCTGTTCTCAAACCCAACGTTGGGTGGAGGACATATATGGCCTGTAATAGTGAATTCTATTAGAAGAGTGAACTTACCAGCAGATAAATGGTTTACCTACTACACACAAACAAGATACTGACATGAAGGTTGCGCTGATGTTTACGACCCAATATTTGTTGTAGGCGCTTCATGAATCCTAAATCTGGTTGCCTGGAAATAGAACGAATAGCTCCTTTTACATACAAAATGCACGGATTTAACAAGCAAACAATAAGGAATGTCCTTACTGACATTTAATGCGCACTTACGGTTGTAATGATGCAGCAGAATGGAAATAGACAATGCTATATGGCTTCTGAATCAAAGGTTCAAACTCCTGCAAAGAGTAAATAACGTGATGTTTTCAGCATTAAATTGCTAACAGCCAAAACAGGGTATGGCAGAAGCAGATTTTGGTTAAGCTAATCTAACTATCTCAAACATGTAATTCAAGTATTTGTGTGCTACTGCCATCTGAAACTTCAAGAAATGTTTTAAGATATATAGTTATATACATAATGTAACATATTGCTGCATAACTTCAGGGCAGGACAATTACCTTTACTACATGTAGAACAAACCGTTCAAGATCCAAGCAGCGAAGAAGAAAGTGTGCACCAACAACAACCATAACCGGGCGTCCTTCACTGTCAACTCCACCTCGATAACTGCAATAACCAATAAAGGGCATTAGACTAAGGCAAGGCGCAACACCACACTGGCAGAAAAAAAAAGTATCATTAGTCAAAAGAAAAACAAAACTTAAATTAAAATGAAAAAAAAACACATACATTATTTTCATTTCAGCAATCTCTGAAAGATTAAGAGAATTTGCTTTAGCAAGGTATCTTGAATGAAGTGAATATTCCTCTGCGGCGGATAATGAAGGGCAAGCTAGATCTCCATATCCAAGCAACTTAGCATAATTAAATCCCTTTTGAGCTTGAGCAGATTTTTCCCACTGCTCCTTGCGCCTCAGATCTGGGTCTTTAATTAATGACATAAATGAAGGATCCAGATATGAATCCAACTTGAAAGAACTCCTGTTGAATAGATGAATAAGTTAAAGAAGATCATGGATGATTAATACTATACTATTTGAGGGTCAATCATAATATGAAGTAAAAATAAAAATCTTGTAAAGTATACAGTAAGATAAAGAAGTAAAGAACCATTGATTAATTTAATGGTGATTATAACTAGTACTACAAAATTATCAGTTGCCTCTAATCAAGAAAAGAGTGTTTTTTTTCAGATGAAAAAAGGCTGATTAAGAATATGAAAATGGCTAAGGAATTGAGTTGCACGCAAGAAAACCAAATAGATCTGAGCAGTCATCTCAGACCAACAAGGCTACATAATGCATAAACTATGATCAGCAATAAGCACATATCATGGCAGCCTGTGTCTCTACAGGTGAATTCTGAATCTATCTACTGCACACAATGTAATAGAAAATTTCAAACTGACCTCTTCGATGCCAATCCAGAATCAAAAGGAAGATCTATAGGAGCAGTAGTTGCAGCTCTGTCTGTTGCACCAGCAGGCAAAGGTCTTATTCTTATTTTCCTTTCATCAATTACTGTTTCACCATTCTCATCCCCAACATCGGCTGGAAGTTTTGATACCGCAATCTCTTCCTCTTGCCTGTCCCGAGGGAAATATAGTGGGAGCAATCTGGAGAATGGTTATTATTAGTAATTAGTAAATGCATGAAAAACCAATACAAATTTTTGGTTTAAGCTTAATCACCTCTTGTATATCTCTGTATCAGATGATGATACAGTACAAAAAACAACACCAGCAATTTTGCTTTTTTGTTTCTCCAGAAAGCGTCTAACAGTTCCTGCAGAGTAGAGCAAAGTCATGCAGAAGAAAACCTAAAAGCATCCATAATTAATACTATATTTATGGAGTAACTATGGTACACTTTTTTTTTATAATTTTTTGCAGTTCACAAGAATTTTGTTCCACATTCAGGCAGTCATCAGTTCACCTCTCCAATAGGGAGGGAAAGGTGAGAAATGCATGAAGTGGACAGAGTTTGGAGTATGTGTATGTTTGACATGTGTCCATATCATACTTTCACCTAATTATGAATAGAATATTTCGTTTCTTCTTACGTAACATAAAATCAATAGCTTGAGTGGAAAATTGATAAATGAAACATTGAATAAAAAGAACTCACTTATCGCCACATGGGCAGCTGGCTCACGAGGGTAGTTTTTAGCTTCCGTGTAAATGCAGCCCATTGCAATGCTAATGAAATAAAAGACCAATTAAAAGAAATTACTAACAGCATGCGTTGATTCAAAACCAGCAGTGCATACATGTTAAACTAGGAATGATGTTAACTACGGATTAAAGAATTTGATCCACACGATTATACAAGTACCTTTCAAGGCCATTTTCAATGAGGAGTTCCAAACAAGAACGGTAGCAGTGACTAAGTGCATTCTCTGCAGCTGTGTGATACTTGACAGCATATTTGGGGCCGACTGTATGAATGACCTTCCTGATAATAAATTGAGATAAAAAATTTAGTGTAACAAAGAAATCACACCACTGTGAAACAGTAAATCAGTAATCAACAACTTTTTCATATATGTCAGATTTTTATTAACAAAAAATTCCCAAAGTTAAGTCCAAACCCCATATATAGTTCCACTATTCAGGTTATGTGATTTGAAGAGCAGTGGGTCCATATAAATCGTACTGACAACTAAAGTTGATAAGTGTGTGTGGGCATATGAACTTCCTATACACATAATTAGTGTTTGATATATTCAATACGGAGGAATCAACAAAACTGAGTTCTTTTTAAATCTGTAATGACAACCATTTACCATGTTTAATATTGTGAAAGAGCATAATAATATGCTAGTAATAGAACTCTATTGGTCATCCTGTTTTAATCATTTTCAACACGATCCAACAAGTGAAAAATACAAAGTACACATGTTAAAAATGAAACAGCATGCTGGAATCACCAACCTTGCAGGCAGATCATAAGCATTGGTCATCTTCGCCATCCCAGTTCGGCATCCTCCCTGAAAAAAATTGAAACAGAACAACAAATGACACTTCCCCAATCACCGCAGAATTGAACCAAATCCCCACAATTTCCAAGCCGTACCAAGGTGGAGCATTCCTCCGCGAGCCCCGATCCTGCCGCGGCGTGCAGACCAGGACTGCTGTGCGACTCGTCCAAGCTCTGCAGAATCCCCAAAGCAACCGAGCTGAGTACCACAATTCTAACTCTCCACAATTCACAAGAAGATAAAACTAGAATCGCAACCTCGTTAGTGGAGTTGACGACAGCGTCGACCTCCAGGTTCCAGGGGTGGCCCCTCCAGAGGTAGATCCTGGAGTTGATCTCGTGGTCGACGGGGAACCTCGAGGCCCCGCCGCGGCCGCCGCCGGTGACCCCGCCGCCGTCGTCGCCGGTGAGGGGGTCGGAGAACGAGAGGAACGCGGACGCGGCGGGCTCGGATCCGCCACCCTCGCCCGCCTCCACACCTCCGGCGGCCGCGGCGGAGGAGGACGAAGGCGCGTACAGGCGCTGGTCGGGGTCGCTCCATCGGGGCACCTGGTCGAGCGTCACGGCCGGCTCGATGCCGCCCACGCCCGGCACCGCCATGGCGGCGGAGGCCGCGGCGGCGACCGGCCCCGACGACGCCGTGGCCGCCGCCGGCGAGCGGTGCTGCATGGCGGCGGAGATTAGACGGCGGCGGCGGCGGTGGCGGCGTTGAGCCGGGAGAGGTCAAGCGGCCGTTAAGAGATGGACGCGAGAAGCGAGGCGGAGGAGAGAGATAAACACCGTAATCTCTCAACTAGGCACCCCTATCTCGTCACTGACAGGCGGGTCCCACATCATCCTGGGCCCACGTTGTCAGCGACTGTACCCACGCGTGGGTGCGCGGCTCGCGTGGGCGTAGCTTGGATCGGATGCGATCGGGGGAGTGCGTGCGCTGGAGTCGCCTACCGCTTACGTGGCGCTCACCTCCACACGTGGCCGACGTGGAGGGCCAGCTTGGGATGTGGCTCTGGTCAATGACTGGGTGGGTCCACCTCTATAGGAGAAGATACCTAGTGGAAGACTTCTAGCTCTGTCGTGCAGTTATGTTTTGCGTACTCAGTTGATCGT